CTGCTGTAAAAGGAAGGAATTCTTACCATTTGCAACAGCATGGGACGGACCTGGAGAGCATTATGCTAAGTAAAATAAGCCAGTCAGTGAAAGAAAAATACCACATGATCTCACTCATTTATGGATAATAAAGACCATTATAAACTGATGAACAAAAATAGATACAGAGGCTGAGCAGCATTAAACAGACTGTCAAACTACAGCAGGAAGGCTGGGGAGGGTTGTGGGGAGTTGGGGGCGGGATAAGAGATCAACCAAAGGACTTGTATGCATGCATATGAGCATAACCAATGGAAACAAGACACTTGGGGGTAGGGGAGGCTGGGAAGGTCAGGGGGGAAAAAAAGACAAATGTACTCTCTTTGTAATATTTTAAGCAATTAAAAAAAATAGACAATCCTGTCCTGGCCCCCCTGCAGGGCATGGCCCATTTAGCGGAGGGTGAGACTGAGGCCCAGGCAGCTGCTCTGCTCCAACGCCCCCCCATCTCCCTTAGGCCCTGAGCCTCCTCCTTCTGACAGCCCCGCCCTGCGCACTGGGAATGCCCTCGTGCAAAGAGGAGGAGTTCCCGACGGGGGCCATGTGCTGCCCCAAGTGCAGGCCAGGTGGGTGCAGCTCTGCAGGGCCCCTGGGGGGCGGGGCTGTGCTGGGGGCAGGCATCCCCCCTCCCCTGTCCTGGAGCCCCTCTGCTCCCAGCACCCCTTCATGGGAGGCCTGAAGGCCCGGGGCACAGAGGGCACCCCCATCTTCCCAAAACGCCCCCTCCCATACCCTCAGCTCACTGCTCAGGGAGGGGCTGGTGTGGGCAGCCCATTTCAGGCCAGGAGAGGGGGGCTCAGAGCCAGGCCTCTGTGCCCCAGGAGGCCCCAACTTCCAGAAAGTTCTCTGTCCTGCCAAGCGGGCTCATTGGCCTGGGGAACAGCCCAGGTGGGGTGACCCCTGGGGGGTGTCACACCTGCCCGGGCTCCCAGGGGCGACCTGCCCTGAGTGTGTGCCCGCTTGGCTGCAGGCTACCGGGTGAAGGAGGCCTGCGGTGAGTTCGCAGGCACAATGTGTGAGCCCTGCACGCCGGGCACCTACACTGCCCACCTCAACGGCCTGCCCGAGTGTCTGCCATGCCGCGTCTGTGACCCAGGTGAGACCAGGAGCCCCTTGGGACTGGCCTCTGCGTCCGGCAGCTCCGGGCCTATGTTCCGGCTGAGCCTGGGCTGCAGCCGGCAGGGTCCAGGGGGAGCAGAGGGGGCTGCACCCCTGTCCCCGTGCCCTTCCCAGGCCTGCGGGCGCTGCCCAGCCCTCAGCGTGGTGTCCTCCCGGGACGGGCGCTCCCCCAGCCCTGGCAGGCCTTGCTGCTGCTCTGAGCTCCTTCTCTGGGTCCCAGGCCTGGGCCAGGTGACCAGACGGAACTGCACCACCCGGACCAACACGGTGTGCGGCTGCGGGCACGGCCACTTCTGTGAGCGACAGGACGGGGACGCCTGTGTCCAGTGCAGGCCCCACAGTGTCTGCCGCCCGGGCCAGAGGGTGCGGGAGACAGGTGAGCGCGGCTCCCCCTGAGGACACAGGCCCGGACCCCGGCCTGAGGGGTCCCCGAGGAGCCCCCTGCCCGACACTGTCGTTTCTCAGGCACCGAGTGGGAGGACACGCTGTGTGAAGACTGCCAGCCGGGCACCTTCTCTGCGGGGGGCACCCAGGCAGCCTGCACGGCCTGGACCAAGTAGGTGACCCGGGTCCCAGGAGGCGCTGCCAGGGCCCCCCTGGGAGATAAGGGCCCCCAGCGGGGAGACGGTGACCCCCCAGCCGCCCTGCTGACCCTGTGGCTCCCACACCGCTGCCACCTCAGCCCAGGGTCCGGTCAGCACATCCCACATGCGGGGCTCAGGGCGCTGTGTCCAGAGACCCACCCTGTGTTCCGGTATTTCTTTAGCTGTTTGATGGTTGTCCTTTTAGCCTTGCTGGTGGTCTTCCCTGGGACTGCCCTGCGTCGGCAGGTGTTTGGGGTCTAGGCTTTGGTACTTTCTCTGGTGGGTAGACCCCTGGGGATGTGGGCCTAGCACAGTGATGTTGAACCTATGGCCCGCGGGTCAGGTGACTCGCGAACTCATTTTTTTGGTTGATTTTTCTTTGTTCAATGGCATTTAAATATATAAAATAAATATTGAAAATATAAGTCTTTGTTTTACTATGGTTGCAAATATCAAACAATTTCTATATGTGACACGGCACCAGAGTTAAGTTAGGGTTTTTCAAAATGCTGACACGCCGAGCTCCAAAGGTTCGCCATCACTGGCCTAGCAAGTCCTAAATTTATTGTCAATATTCTCAGTCTGAGTTCCTCATAAATGGTACACTGTATTTCTGCAATACTAGGGGGTTTTATTGATTTATTCCCTTCCCTAGTCCTGTTAATCCCTAACTCCAGGGCAGTGATGGCGAACCTTTTGAGCTCGGCATGTCAGCATTTTGAAAAACCCTAACTTAACCACTGGGTCTGTGTGTGGGTGAGCGGGTCCCTGTGGGGTGGGGGCTGGGGACTGTTGGGAGCTGCTGCCTCTGGCCATTGGGCTGGGCTGCGCTCAGAGGCGACACAGGCCGGCAGCGAGCACAGGTCTCACTGTGGAAGCCACCCCTTCCCGGCGGGAACGGGAGCAGCTCCGTCCTCGTGGCCCCGGTCACAAGCACACAGGGCGCCCCTCAGCTTCGGGACCTGCAGCCTCCACCAGCCTCTTGGACAGGCCGCTCCCCTGGCGGGCGAAGCAGGACCACGGCTCCCACTTGTGGCACTGGCGCCGCTGCTCCCCAAGCGCCTACAGACCCGCTGGGCAGGGAGCCGGGCGGCTCCGCTTCATGGGACCCTGGGCAGGAGGGAGAGGGGCCGCCCCACCCCCTCCAGACCTACCCCACCGACAAGGAACAGGGTCCCTCGACCCCACGGGGGTCGGGCACTGGTCCAGGCGCTGGAGCTGATGGTGACTCGGCTGCCCACCCTCGCACCCTCTGACCCGGGAGGAAGCCCTGTGCCGGTCAAGGGGGCTGGGCAGGTGGCCTTGGACATGAAGGGGGTGGGGGAGGAACCACGTGGGGCCCCTGGGGCTCAGGCACAGGGAGTGGGAAGAGGGGAGCTGGGCTGCGAGCCCCGCCCGTGGACATCAGCACCCGTCCCCACACCCGTCCCGGCCCAGCAGCCCTTGTCCGAGGAGCCTGCTGGTGGCCATGGAGGATGGAGTTGGGAGCCAGCAGTGCGGTCAGCGGGGCCCAGTGTCCCTGGGACGTCGGTGCTTCGAGGCCTTCCCAGCGCCCAGGACAGGGGATCGCATCACAGGCCTCTGAGGGCGGGCGGTCGTGGGGGCAACTCGGGGCGATTTGGCACCAACATGAGCAACAGCCAGAAACCCCGGCCTAAAGTGAGACCCAGGAGGCCGCCAGGACTCACATGAACGGGGAGGGGGCGCCTCCTCCAGGGCAGAGAGGGAACTGCATGGCCCTGGGCCTCCCACCCCCACGGCTCAGGCGGGGTCACCGGTGGGTGAGACTCACCAGAAACAGGATCTGAGCTGCTCTCAGCGCAAACTGTTCCCCCAACAAAATGCTTTTTAGGTGACGCCTCAGTGTGTGCGACTCATTCTCAGATCACAGTCTCTCATCAAACCGCACACATCGCGGCAGAATTGATCAGCACAGAATTTATAGCTTTTCCTGCACAGCCACTGAGATGGTCCCCAAGCCTCTGCAGTGAGAGGAGATGCTTAGGGTGAAATGCTCAGAGCTGCTGCGAGGGCTCTTCAGGATCTGGGAAGGGGCTGCGCGTAAAGGAATAACACCGGACGGGAAAGATAAATGGGGGGCATTTGGGGAGCCAGGCGGGGACTTAGCTCACGGGACTAAGCTCCCGGAACCAGGGGACCCAGGGCTTTTTACTCCCTGGAAAACACATTGGCCTTCAGGACAGCAGATATACACGTCAAAGGTAGGGCTTGGTCAGCAGGGAAAGGTTAGGGGAATGGCCCCCGGTATCCCGCCAGCTGGAACTAATATGGAGGTTTCCAGTTTTGAGGAATACAGATGCCCTTCTGAGGACTGTTTGCTTTGTTATCACTCAGATTGGAAGAAGGTCAAAGCCTCAGGCAGCCTGTGGCTTCAGAATGTGATTCCAGCCCCGACTTGCAGGGAGGGTGAGGCTTCCTGTGTTGGTGGAGCTGTGGGTGATGGTGTTAACGAAAAAAAACCATGGAAACTTGTAAAGAATTGTTGTGCGTTTATTTGAGCCAAACTGTCGACATAGGCCGGGAAGCAGAACCTCAATGATTGAGATAATGCTCCGGAGAATGGCCGGGTTGCACCTGTATTTATACATTGTGATCAAAGGAGGGACGGAGGTGGGTTACATGAAATCCACTGGTGATAGATTAAGGAGGAGGGATAAAGCAAAGCAGGGAAACCCCTGGGATTGGATACAAAGTAAAATGATGGACACGTGCTTAGGTGGGTGCAGGATCAATTAACATGATAGTGAAGGGATTTGTGGTCTCTGTCCTGGCGCCCAGCACATTTGGTTGTGCCCCAGGGGCTCCAGAAAAAGGGGAGTTACAAGTGACCCAGACATTTCAAGGGTGTGTTATCATAGATGCAAAAAGGCAAATGGGCTCAGTAAGGATCAAAGTTGATCTTGTCAGTGAAGATACTGGCCCAGGACGTAACTGCCCACCATCACTGCTTTAGTTAAAGTTTAATGTCAGACCATCCTTTGTGGTTACTTTAGGTCTGAGTTTGCAAGAACGCCATGCAGGCCTCCCCTGAGCCTGTCAGGTCAGCATGTGGCCGCTTTTGTCCACAGTGGTGGGTGACGGTGGCTCCAGAACCCCCGGTGCCAGGGCCCCACAGCGACCACCATGCCCCCCCGTACAGAGCCGTGGCCGCCGCCCCTGATCCGTCCCCACATGACGCTGGCGGTGCTGTCTGTCCCCTGCGCTGAGCTCACCTCCTGGCCCCCCTTCATTTCACAGGGGGCGTCTGTCTTTCTCTCTTCATTTTCTCTGTAAATCCTCACCCTAGGGTTTAGGGGGCGTGGGAGGGAGGGGAGGGGAGGAGAGAGAAACAGGGGGAGGGAGGCCTGGAGGGGTCGCCTCCTGCACGCACCCGGCGGGGGTGGGATCCGCCTGCACCCAGGTGGGTGTCCGGGGTCAGGTTGACGCACTAACCACTGAGCCATAGGCCAGGACGCAAGTTTGCGTTTCTCACGCCCCTGCCTGTCGGGCCCAGAGTCCCGCTGCCCCGGGGCGGCCCGGTGTCCGGCGCTGCCAACGCCGAGGCCCCTGGAGGGCGCTGCTCCCCCTTCGGGTCCTTCTCTGTGTTATATTGTTAAATGTTGTTTTTGCTTCCAACTTCCGGTTCCCTGATC